GTGCCCCCCCCCCCACCGCCCCCCGAGTTCCAGGAGCACAGCCTCCCTCTCCGCTCACCGGGTTGTGTCTGAGGAAGCTGGGGGAGGAGGGAGGACCCGCTCTAAGCCCTCACGTGTCCGTGAGTGGAGTGGCCTTGGCCCATCACATGCTCTGGGCCGGAGGAATTGACATGGACAGGACAGGGTTTGGTGGTGGTGTTGGCGGTTGGCAGCCTAGAGACGTCAGGTACGTACAAAGCTTGTGGTTTCTTCTTTTGGACTAGGTCTGTGCCTGTCAAGTGCGAGCTACAGGAAAAATGTACGCCTGTAAGAAGCTAGCAAAGAAAAGAATAAAGAGGAGGAAAGGTGAAGCAATGGCTCTAAATGAGAAGAGGATGCTGGAAAAAGTGAATAGCAGATTTGTAGTAAGGATCTTGCCTTAGTCTTCTCTGTACGCGGTGTCCTGAGTCCCACCTTCCTGAGCGCACCTGCTGCTGGCCTCGCCCACTCTCCATCCACCCTGGGGCGCGCCCACTTTCCAACCCCGGGCTCGCCTCCTCTCCGTCCCCGGCTCGAAAACCCCCGCGCTTCCAGGCTCAGCATGTGCTGGGAACCTGGGAACGTGCCAGGGACAGCCTCTTTCGTCTTAGTGGCAGCCCTCTTCTTTCCAATTCACTTCTTACTGGGCACAAACATAAATGAGTGGGGATCCCACTTCCAACTTCCGACCTGCTATAAATCTGTAGCTGTCCACCACTGCCTGACCTGTGGTTCCTCTCCACACCCAGCAGTGTGCTCTTAACCAGTGAGGGCCCTCCTCTCCCTGCGGGGCAGACAGCCTTACCCTCTGGCCTTTCAGCCACTCTGACTCCTAGTCCTGAAAGGCACTGCCTCTGGTCCTTCTCTTCTCAGTGGCCTCTTTCTGACACTTGGCGAATGTATTACTGGCCCTCTATCAGCACATTCCAACTGTATGGAGCCTCAAATTCCACCTTCACTGTTTCAGGCAAGGATTGGACTTGTGGGGCTAGGGTGAACCTTGGGACCCTTCCAGGCCCTAGGCTGTGCATGAGGTGGTGTGGTTTTCATCGCCAAACCTGACTTCTTCACCCCATCACCTATCTCCCATAGCATCTACGGCAACAGGAGGGTCTGCCTGAAGCGGGGAGAGGAAGGTACTTTATGAAAGAATTTGTAGTGTTACACTTACTTCGTCCCGGTCATTCATGTCTCAGTACTGAGGTTGGCTGATTTGTGGTAGGGAACAAATGTTCCAGAACAGGGGCCTGCACAGCCATCATGTACACTTGTCTCCGTGTATGATAGGTCACTTCTGCACCCATGACACGAAAATCTTTCATAAAATCAGCTCATCTGGGAGTTTCTTTAAATATATTTGTATAACTACCTTGAAACATGGAAATCCATAATCTAGCTTTATGAAAGGAACATAAACGGTATCTATGGTTTATTCTACTTAAATGAAATATTTTAGTTTCTATATTCTTGGCCTCTCCCAAGGAACCTGGAAGTAACTTCCTTCATCCTTTTTTCCCCCAACTGAAGGATAATTGACATAATAATATCCTATCAGTTTCAAGTGCACATCATAGTGATTTGATATTTTTCTACATTGTGAAATGAGTCTCATGATAAGCCTAGTTACCATATCAAAGTTATTACAAGTTATTAAAAAGTTACAAATATTGACTGTATTCCCTATGCTGTACATCACATCTCCTTGACTTATTTGCTGTATAACCAGAAGTTAGTACCTCTTAATCCACTTCACCTATTTTCTGACCCCCAACCCCTCCCTACTCTTGTAACAAGCCTGTTTAGTGTTGGAGTCGGTGTCTGTTTTGTTGTTTCCGTTTTGTTTTGTTGTGAGTGTGTTTTGCTTTTTAGATTCCACATATGAGTGAAACCATGTGGTGTCTTTCTCTGACTGACTTGTTTTGCTTAGCATTGTCCTTTCTAGGTCCATCCACGTTGCCGCAAATGGCAAGATTCCATTCTTTCTTATGGCTGAGCAATATTCATTCTCCTGTATACACATCGCATCATCTTTATCCATTTGTCACCTATCAGTGGCTGCTTAGGTTGCTTCCCTATCTTGGCTATTATAACTAATGCCACAGTCAACAGAAGGGTGCAGATACCTCTTTGGATTGGTGTTTTCATTTTCTCCAGATAAATACCTAGAAGTGGAGTTGCTGGATCACATGGTGTTTCTATTCTTAATTTTTTGAGGAATCTCCATACTGTTTTGCACAGTGGCTGCACCAACTTACATTTCCACCAACAGTTGTACAAGGGTTCCTTTTTCTGCACATCTTCACCAACCCTTGTTTCTTGTCTTTTTGATTCTAGTCATACTGATAGGTGTGAAATGCTATCTCGTGGTGGTTTTGATGTGCATTTCCCTAATGGTTAGTGATGATGAGCATCTTTTTATGTGCCTGGTAGCCCTCTGTATGTATATGTATGTATGTACATTTGGAAAAATATCTGGGGTGCCTGGGTGGCTCAGTCAGTTAAGCGTCTGACTCTCAGTTTCAGCTCAGGTCATGATCTTATGGTTTCATAAGTTCAAGCCCTGTGTCAGGCTCTGCTTGGGATTCTGCATCTGTCAGTGCAGAGCCTGCTTGGGATTCTCTCTCTCTCTCCCTCCCTCTCTCTCTGCCCCTCCCCTGCTCACACTGTATCTGTCTCTCTCAACATAAATAAGCAAAAAAACCACAAAAATATCTGTTCAAGTTCTCTGCTCATTTTCTCATCAGGTTTTTTTTTAAACATATTTGTATAATTTAGAAAATATATTTTGATATTATCTCCTTATCTGATATATGATTTGTAAATATCTTCCATTCAGTAGGTTGCCTTTTTGTTTTGTTGATGGTTTCCTTCGCTGTGCAAAAGCTTTTTAGTTTACTATAATCCCATTGTTTATTTTAGCTTTTGTTACTCAGGAGACTGGTCTGAAAAAACATTCCTAAGACTGATGCCAAAGAGCTTACTTCCTGTGGTTTCTTCTAGGGGTTCTGTGGTTTTGGTTCTTACATTCAAGTCTTTAATCCATTTTTAAGCATCTTATTTTTTTTAATGTTTATTTATATTTAGTTTTGAGAGAGACGGGGGTCGGGGGAGATAGGGAGAGAAGGCCCATGCATGTGAGCAGGGGAATGGCAGAGAGAGAGGGAGAGAGAGAATCCCAAGCAGGCTCTGTGCTGTCAGCACAGAGCCTGATGTGGGGCTCGATCCCATGAACTGTTGAGATCATGACCTGAGCCAAGATCAAGAGTCAGACTCTTAACCAACTGAGCCACCCAGGCACCCCTCAAGTCTTTAATCCATTTTGAGTTAATTTTCGTGTATGGTAAAATGTAGTGGCCAGCTTTATTCTTCTGCATGTAGCTGTCCAGTTTTTCCAACACTATTTATTGAACAGGCTGTCTTTTCCTGGTTGTATATTCTTGCCTCCTTTGTCATAAATTAATTGATCTTATATGCATGTGTTTATCTCTGGGCTCTCTATTCTATTCCACTGATCTATGTGTCTGTTTTTATGCCAATACCATACTCTTTTGATTACCACAGCTTTGTAGTATAGTTTGAAATCAGGGAGCATGATGCCTCCAGCTTTGTTCTTCTTTCTCAAGATTGTTTTGCCTTTTCAGAGTCTTGTGTTGTTTCATACAAGTTTTAGGATTGTTTGTTCTAGTTCTGTGAAAAGAGCTATTGGTATTTCTTTAATGTTTATTTTGAGAGAGAGAATGAGAGAGAGCGAGCAAGTGAGTGTGAGTGGGAGAGGGACAGAGAGAGAGAGAGAGAGAGAGAGAGAGAGAGAATCCCAAGCAGGCCTCATGCTGTCAGTGCAGAGCCCAAAGTGGGGCTCAAACCCATGAACCATAAGATCATGACCTGAGTCAAGATCGAGAGTCAGATGCTTAATTGACTGAGCCACACAAGCACCCCAGAACTATTGGTATTTTGATAGGGATTGCATTGAATCCGTAGATTGTTTTGGGTACTGTGGGCATTTGAACAATATTAATTCTTCTAATCCATAAGGATGGAATATCTTTCCACTTATTTTTGTCTTCAGTTTGTTTCATCAATGCCTTATAGTTTTGAGAGTACAGGTCTTTCACCTCCTTGGTTAAATTTATTCCTAGGTATCTTATTCTTTTGATAAAACTGTAAATGGGATGGTTTTCTTAGTTTCTGTTTCTGATATCTTATTATTAGTGTATAAAACTGCAACCTGTTTCTGTATGTTAATTTTGTACTCTCTGATGTGACTGATACCATTGATTAGTTCTAATAGCTTTTTGGTGAAGTCTTTAAGGTTTTCAATGTGTACTATCCTGTCGTCTGCAAATAGTGAGTTTTACTTCCTCCAATTTGAGTGCCTTTTATTTCTTTTTCTTGCCTAATTGCTATGGCTAGGACTTCCAGTACTATGTTGATAAAAGTGATAAGAGTGGGTATCTCTGTCTTGTTCCTGATATTAGAAGAAAAGCTTTCAGCTTTTTATCATAGAGTATAGTATTAGCTGTGGGTTTGTCATATATGGCCTTTATTATGTTAAGGTATGTTCCTTCTATACCCACTTTATTGAGAGTTTTTTAAATCATAAATATATAGGGGCGCCTGGGTGGCGCAGTCGGTTGAGCGTCCGACTTCAGCCAGGTCACGATCTCGTGGTCCGTGAGTTCGAGCCCCGCGTCAGGCTCTGGCTGATGGCTCGGAGCCTGGAGCCTGTTTCCGATTCTGTGTCTCCCTCTCTCTCTGACCCTCCCCCGTTCATGGTCCGTCTCTCTCTGTCCCAAAAATAAATAAAAACGTTGGAAAAAAAAAAAAAAGAAAAAAAAATATATATTGAATTTTGTCAAATGTTTTTTCTGCATCTATTGAGATAATCATATGATACTTACCTTCATTTTGTTAATGTGGTATATCACCTTGATGTATTCGTGGGTATTGAACCATCCTTGCATCCCTGGAATAAATCCCACTCGATTGTGATGTATGATCCTTTTCATGTGTTGTTGAGTTTGGTTTAGTAATATTTTGTTGAGGATTTTTACATCTATGTTCATCAGGGTTATTGGCCTGTAATTTTCTCTCTCTCTCTCTCTCTCTCTCTCTCTCTTTTTTTGTAGTGTTTTTATCTGGTTTCAGGGTGTTTTTATCTGGTATCAGAATCAGGGTGATTCTGGCCTTGTAAAATGAATTTGGAAATCTTCATTCCTCTTCAATTTTTGGAAAAATTTGAGAATAGGTACTAAGTCTTCTTTAAATGTTTGGTAGAATTCACCTGTGAAGCCATGTGATCCTGGACTTTTTGTTTTTTATAGGAGTTTTTAAATTACTGCTTCAATTTCAATGCTTGTAATTGGTCTGTTCATATTTTCTATTTTTGTGTGATTCAGTCCTGAAAAGTTGGGTTTCTGGGAACTTATCCATTTCTTCTAGGCTGTCCAAATACGTTGGTGTGTAATTATTCATATTAATCTTTTATGATTCTTTGTATTTCTGTGGTGTCAGTTGTAACTTCTCTTTCATTTCTGAGTTTAAAAAAGTTAATGTATTTGTTTATTACTGACAAGTCTGGCTAGAAGTTTATTGATTTTGTTTTTTCAAAGAACCAAGTTTTAGTTTCATTGATCTTTTCTATTGTTTTTTTTTAACTCTCTATTTCATTTATTTCCACTCTGATATTTATCATTTTCTTCCTTCTACCAACTTTGAGCTTTGTTCTTTTTCTAGTTCCTTTAGATACAAAGTAACATTTTTTACTCCCTGCTTACAGTTGATCAGTGGAACCTGACCTGTACCTGTCACTCATTTCCTCCTGCTTCCCACTGCCCACCCTGACTGGCCCACGATATGATTATGTATGATGAAAGCCTAACACTTTCTATATAACTTATTGTGTATCTAGCCAACCACAAATAGTTAGAAAATAAAAAAAATTTAACTGATACCATTTATAATAGCATCAATAAATATCAAAATCTAGGCAAAAATTTAATGAAAATATGCAAGACTTCTAAACTGAGAGCTAGAAATGCTATTACAAGAAATTGAAGAAGACCAAATAATGTTCATGGATCAGAACATTCATATGAATCAACATATAAAGATATTGCTTCTCCCAAATTGATATATAGATTAAATGAATTAAATGCAGTCCTAATCAAAATCCCAGCAGGGTGTGTGTGTGTGTGTGTGTGTGTGTGTGTGTGTGCACGTGCACACGCAAATTGACCTACATACCAACAGAGAAGTGGGCAAAAAACTTGGACAGGAACTTCACACAAGAGGTTCCAAATGGATAAGTATATGAAAAACTATGAGAAGTGTCTCCTTTATTTGTATGTACAGAGAAATGCACATTAAAACCACAATAAGAGACAACTATGCCTCCACCAGCACTGACTGACGGCACAAAATGTTGGAAGGATGTGCCGCAGCAAGACCCCTCTTGCACTACTGTGGAGAGTGTCTTTAACTTGTATGCTAAACGTGGGTGTTCTACAAGTATGGACTATCAGTGCTCAATGATTAGAGAGCATAGCTTTGATAAATCGTAGTCCCAAGCGTCTTTGAAGTTTTGCCACCTACCCACTTAGCCACAGAAGGTTCTGTCCTTGCAGTACAGAACTGTTGTAAAGTCTTTGATAGGTACATGCCTGAGAAGCGCCAGATGCATGATAGGCATTTTCCTGAAGCATATAGTATTTGGGTTTTCTAAATATAAATCTAACATGGGTTATTTGAATAATGTTAGCAAATAGAGTAAATCACCAATGAATGCACAGGTTTTTGTGCTTTGTTTTTTATGCTGCTGTTGTCCTCAGGTTAGTTTGTCTTATACTTACGAGACCAAAGACTCCTTGTACTTGGTGCTGACCATTATGAATGGAGGGGACTTAAAGTATCACATTTACAACCTGGGCAACCCTGGCTTTGATGAGCAGAGAGCGATCTTCTATGCGGCCGAACTGTGCTGTGGCTTGGAGGACTTACAGAAAGAAAGAATTGTGTACAGGTAAGAACAGAACGAACTCCTGGGCCTGAGAGCCCAAGACTCCCACCCGGCTGCTGCTGACCCCTCATGAGCCTGGGCACAAGGGCTATGGGGCCCCTTGGTGGCCATTTGTAGGGTGTGGTCACTCACACCGTAGGAAATGGGGTCAGTCGGTGGGGGACCTTGGTTTTCTTTTCAGTTCTCTTCCATCTCTCGTAGGTTGGTTTTATTTGTTACGTTGATGAAATGTAGGCAGTTTTACTCATGTAAGAAGAGCCCATTTCCCAGATTCTTAGGCATCTTGAGAGCTCTATTTAAGGTTGTAGACTATGTTTCAACAAAATAGCGTACAATTAAATGCCTCAATATTTTAATATTTTGTGCCTTAGAATTCAGTAAAGAAAATTAAGTTTAATTTAATAGGTAGAATTAAATTAGTATGATCAAATATTTAGTTTTAGGGAAAGCAGTCCTTCCTTCCACCTTTAGGTGTGGAGCTCACGGGCTCTGACACCCTTCTCTACCCCTCCCTGCACAGCCCGTCCCTTCGCCTCTGTGTGGCAGTGCACCTCTACATGGAGACCATTCCCTACAGGAGTTTCTCACCGTGCCCTTTTCCTGAAATTCCCAAGGGCTCTGTGTATCCCCTGCCTTCATATTCCCCATACAGTTGGTCGTGAAATCACCCCTGAATGTTTCCCAGATCATTCTTTAGGGTCACTGGCTTAGTTTGGGTCTTCCATAGGTTACCTGGCAGGCAGACACTTATGCCAGTCTTGCCCCAGTGCCTCCTCCATGAGACCAGTGACAGGCCTTCCTGTGATGTGGATCTGATCCTGTCATGCTGTCCCTAGCTTGGACCCCTGTGGGCCTGGCTCCCCTGACCCTGTGTGACGCCCGTGTGATGCCGCTCCTCACTGACTGCTCCAACCCAGTGTCCTGCTGCTCCCCGAATGGGGACTCCCTGCCTTCGTGCTGGGCACATATTTGCAGCTCACACTCTTCTCAAGCGTCCGCAGGGCTTCATACCTTTGCACATGTGGTCTGCTTGTCGGACGCTTTTTTTCACTGTGGCCCTTCTTCCTTCACTCTGAGACACTGCTGCTCATTGTCCCAGAGTTAGCATGGCAGTGTCCCCTCCCCCTGCCCCCGAGAATGTGGCCCCGAAGAAACTGTGCTGAATCTACTCTGCCTGCGCTCTACAGATGGAACAACAAAGCCTGGATGACAGCATATCTGTTTACGACATGGTTTACCAAGTATCTGAAGCCGACTGTTCAGACCTACAGTTCAGAAAAAAAGATTACTCTCAAAATAATACTGCTCATTGACATTGTACCCAGTCACCCAAGAGCTCTGATGATGTAAAGCAAGATTAATGTTTTCATGCCTGCTAACAGACCATCCATTCTGCAGCCCATGGTGCAAGGAATAATTTTGACTTTGAAGTCTTATTTAAGAAATAAATTTCATAAGGTTGTAGATGTCATAAATAGTGATTCCTCTGATGGATCTGGGCAAATTGAAAACCTGGAAATGACTCACCATTCTAGATGCCATTAAGAATATTCATGGTTCATGGAAGAGGTCATGATATCAATATTAACAGGAGTTTGGGAGAAGTGGGTTCCAGCCCTCATGCAGGACTTTGAGGGGTTCAAGACTCCGTGGAGAAGTCACTGCAGATGGGGTGGAAACAGCAAGAGAACTATGATCAGGGGCTGAATGGCTGCGATCCCAGGGTCAAACTTGAACGGATGAGGAGCGCTTCCTACGGAGGAGCAAAGAAAGTGGTTTCTTGAGATGGACTCTGCTCCTGGTGAAGATGCCGTGAAGATGGTTGGAATGACAACCATCTAAATGGGATTTAGAATATGGCATAAACGTAGTTCATAAAGAGCGGCAGGGTTTGAAGGGACTGACTCCAATTTTGAAAGAAGTTGTACCGTGGGTAGAATGCTGTCAGACGCATCACGTGCCACAGAGAAATCATTTGGGAAAGGAAGAGGCGGCAAATTCATTCTCTTGTTTTGAGAAACTGCCACAGACACCCCAACCTTCAGCAACCAGGACCCTGATCAGTCAGCAGCAGTCTGCGTCAAGGCAAGACCCTCCACCAGCAAAAAGGTTGCAGCTCGCTGAAAGCTCGGATGATGGTTAGCATTTTTAATAGATACTGTATTTATAGTAATTTTAAAACAAGATACAAAGTTCAAGTATGTACATAATTTTTCTGCTATTGCACACTAATAGGCTACAGCATACTAGTGTACTGGGAAAAAGAAATTCATTTGAGTGGCTCTGTTTGCAGTGGTCTGGAGTTGAACCCACAGTCTAAGGTCTGCCTGCCAAAGGGCCTTTACATAGTATATTCCCAATTCTCTGATGTTATTTATTTTGCATTTATATGTTCTATTAACACACAGTACTCACTATTTTTGCTTTTGCAAGTTACCTTTTAGTGCAATTCTTGAAAAAACAGAAAAGACTGATTTTATTTTACTCGCATTATGTTTTTAGGGCTCTTCATTTCTTTTTTGTAGATCCAAGTTTCAGTATTACTCAGATTCTTTCTGCCTGAAATATCTTACCTTTCTTGTAGGTTAAGTCTCCTGGCAATGAATTTTCTTCAGTATTTGTTTCTGAGAAAATCTTTCTCCATTATTTTTAGAAAGATATCTTTGCTGGGTATAGAATTTTGACTTAATAGGTGGTGGTTGTTGCTTTTCCCTTTCAGTACTCTAAAAAAAAAAAAAAAAA